AGTTCTTTTTCCTATGCACTACTTATATCAACGGGGCAGGGCCTTCTCTCAGTCATTCATGTATTTGATATAAGCTTCGCACCAAATTAAGAAGAACATATAATATTTATGTTGTTGACTAATTTGTTACAGATAGTTTATAATCAAGAGTCCGTTGACACCGATACAACGATTTATTTTCATATGTGTTTCTTAGGATGAAAGTCCATAGCGACAAAACCATTTCTACCCTATAGAAAGTCCGTGTCTGATTCCGACAATTAGTATATCATAAGTGATTTCTTTTGATTATGGAATTGAGTTTTGTTCATGAATCGCTATCAATTGGTGATGACGCACGTTGTTCTTGAAAACAATGATAAGAATTTATGCTTGGAATAGATTTGAGTTTGATTGTAGTGCAAGATATCACCTGCATTTCATATTCATCCTATCAAAGGTTTTGGAGAAGACATCAAATATGTACATACACTCTTCAAGAAAAAGAAAGGCACGGGAAGATATTTAGTAAATGTATTGTATTTAAAAAAGTCGATATAATTAATTTAATATACATAGATACAAATATGAAATTTTGGAGCTCGATAGTCACATGTTGTCGTTGTACAAAGGCATTGAAAACTGTTCATTGTCATGTCACACAAGGTTGCACTGAACTCAGTATCTCGTGTGACCGACCCAGGCAGCAATCACGGCTCTGCATCTCCTCGGCACTGACTGGATAAGTGTACGAATTCTGTCCTGCGGAATTCTGCGCCATTCTGCTTGTAACGCGTTGGCCACATGTGGGAGTGTCTGTTGCATGTTCTGGCGTTGACGGACACGTCGATCGAGTTCATCCCAGAGGGGTTCGATTGGGTTAAGATCTGGAGATTTCGACGGCCAGGGCAAGTCGTTGATGTTGGCATTATGAAGGTAGTCTACCGTGACGAGAGTTATGTGCGGCGGAGCGTTGTCCTGTTGACACAGCTCCCTCTGGCGGTCAATGATTGGAAGAAGGTGAGGTTGAAGAATTTCATTCAGGTATCGATTCCCTGAACCACAACCAAGTCAGATCTCGTAGTGCAGGATATGGTCCCCAACACCATAACACTACCGCCATCGAAATTGTCGAATTCACGTACACAATTTAGGGCAAAACGCTTATTTCGACGACGATAAACACGTTGTCTTCCATCTCGCCGGTGAAGAAGAAATCGTGATACATCGCTAAACCACACTCGCCTCCAGTTTCTCAAATACCTAGACTGTAAGGTATGGCATCAATGCAAGCGTCGCTGTGATGGATCTGTTGCAAAACAGGGACGATAACTGGACCTCTGGGTCAGATTCCAGCCTCGCCAGTCTGGACCGATATCCTCCCCAAACCAGAGATGCTTCCTGTAGTCTCCTAAGCTGTGGCATTGCGATGACGTAGGTGGAACAGTCGAATGTAGCGATCCTGTGCAGGGGTGGTAACTCTTGGTCGGCCGGTTTTCGGCCTGCAGTGGAAGTGAACTGTGTATCGGTCCCAAGGGCGGAAAGTGGTGCTGTGGTGGACGTTTGAAGTGGCGTGCAACAGAAATCAGAGATTACCCTTTTTGGATACGTCCTATGACGATATTCCGATCGGCAGCGCTGAATCTCGGCGTTTTCGAACTTGAAAAATGTTAACAACTGAATGACACATTATTGGCTTATGCTTGCCATTTTATAGCCATTACCACGAGTTACGAATGTCATAACTTGCACGTGCATCTTGCTTTACTGTTTTTCTCATGACATTTTTTATCAAGTGTGAAAACAATGCCGTTTAAGACATTGCAAATTGACAATGGCTGCGTTTTGACGCGCCGTTTTGTTGAATAACCCGCTTACAACATTTTTCAATATCAGTATCAAATTTATGACCTGATTTTTTGGTGTAGTCAGGTTCAATGAATTACATACTTCCTGTGCGTTTCTTTTTTTGAAGAGTGCATTGTGGGCAAGGAGGCAGACGATGGACAAAGGAAAGTGTTACATAGGTGAGGTTATTTTGATCCTCGGTCTTGGTGAGCTAAAATACAAAATGTTGACATTTCAATTCCATATTTTCTAAACTCGAAATCGTTTCCTTGTATATTATTCAAACTCAAATGATTAAAAAGTGGCTTAAACATGATAAGGACTAACACACAATGTAGGGAAATTTAGAGCGACAAGCGACTATATACATTATTGATTTCACTAATTTTTGTGAAATGTTTACTTATAGTATGTATTTATTTGAGTACCAAATGGTACGTCATTCTCTCAAGTACAGGTACTTTGTATGTCATTGTGAGCAAGTAATGCGATGTCGAAATAAATATAATTTGACACACAAGAGAAAGCTTATCCTCTCTCAGAAGAATAATATTTATAAATATTCATGATAGGTTATCAAATTGCCAATTGCAATCTGCATGTCAACTATACGCGGCTCACATTACTGACCCACTAAGCATGTCGGGTAATTATGGAAATAACATGGAAAACGTAATCACTCTGTCACAATCTCTGTTTCATAATTTCAATAATTCGGCCATATATGATTGTTTGTACAGGGATTAATCTAAAGTTCATTCATTAAAAACGTTGATGACTTTGGGGCGGGATTATGATGATACCGTGGGCGAAGAAGACTTGTTTTCCAATGAAATTATGTTCCACTTTTTTTTATAAAAAATATGTATTACCAGATGAAAACCAACATCTGTTGAATTGAAGTAAGAATGCCCAAAACACAATCTCTGTAGATTCTTACATGGTTGTGACTTCTGCACATTAATTTTCTAACCTACGTCAAGTCGGGTAAAATGTTTACGTGCCGAATACTTGTATATGACAAAAGAAGTAATTTGTCTTGAAATCATTTTTGGGATGGCACATATGTACATTACATACATGCAAGGCAGTAAGGGGCCTTTAACTAGAACGAAAGTATCTCGATATCTGAGATCCCTGTTGCTATACTATTGGAATATGTGTAGCACTATTTTAATATCACCGTTACATGCTGGAATGTCCTATCGAGCTCAGTGCTTTTCTGGGGAAGTTGTTGACTTGTTAGTGTGACAAAAGGTGTTTCACATGTTCTGGTGTTTTATTTTCATATTATCGCATCTATCGAAGTAATTAACAGTTTGGGATGTTCAGGTACTTTCTCTCTTATATCAGTCTCGCATCTTCGTATGGGGTATTTCTGTATCATGTAATATTTACCCTCTCATAGTAATTCATAAGTATCAACCGGTCGTCAGTGGGTTGCGGGTGCGAAACCCTTACCAATATCAGATCAAGGCGACTCGGCATCCCACTACAGTGTGCGAAACCCCAACCAGCATCAGTTCAAGGCGACCCAACATCTCACTACAGTATGTGAAAAACCCAACCACAGTCAGTTCAAGGCGAATCGGTATCTCACTACAGTGTGCGAAACCCCAACCAATATATGATCAAGGCGACTCGGCATCCCTCTACAGAGTAAGAAACCCCAACCAATATCAGTTCAAGGCGAGTCAGCATCTCACTACAAGGTGCGAAACCCTAGCCAATATCAGTTCAAGGCGACCCGGCATTTCACTACAGGGTTCAAAACCGCAACCAATATCAGTTCAAGGCGACTCGGAATACCTTTAACCTTTAACCATATTGGAACCAACTTCCTTTATTTGTTGTCTAAAATGTCTAAATTGTCTTTTATCGTACCATCGATGAACTGCCACCAGGCTATAGACAATTACAATTCATCAATATCTTGAATACATTTGCTTAATGGCAGCGTAAGCCTTTACGTTTTGCAATTTTAACGATTGATTATTTATAAGATAAGAATAACTGGAACATATTCGACTGGCGTTATTGACTGTGTCAGAAAACATGAACTGAGATCAGATCTCCAGTCACCCTTAGTCGATGATATCAGACAGTTTTTTTCCTTAACCATAACCTTAATGACAGAATCTTGTCGAAACTGAAGCAAAGTTTTCATTTAGTATTGTATCGGTGAATATGTTTCCGTCAGAATGCTATTGATTTGGATTTGTTTCATATGTCATGTGTACATACCCATTTTCTGACGGAAAATGCAAAATTTGGGGTTATTATTATAATTGAAGTACTTGCAGTATTGTCTTTAGATTTTGTTTAAGAAGTAGCCATCTCTTATAGGCAACAACTGTGCTCCCATCCTTGTTGATCATTGTCTGTATGCCGCTAAATCGGAATTTGTGCTAGTATTGGCAAACCAAAACATGGACTTTTGGCCAAGAAGTCCACTTAACTTCAGGTACATCGATGTTCTCATATCGTCCAGTCACCGCCAAATTGTCAATTCCCTTCTACTGATTTACCCACCTGAACCAGAAATATCCCAGCAGATTTAAATGTGACGTATTAGTGACAAACATTTTATTTAATATGTTCTCGTATTTGTTATTTTGAATTTGATACATATTTCTTGTGATTATTGGGATGGTTTTGTCGCTTTTATTGTTACAAAAACAAAAAAAACAAGGTACTTTCTGAAACACACGCATAAAGCTGTAATGCATTCTGTGCCATGCCATTATGTTGCAGATGTTGTAAGGAGTACGCTTAAATGTTTATCTTAAAACAGATGACGGGGGATCTAAATCAAAACAGTTAGAAGTATTTCAAATTCATTTTAAATAAGCTTTTTCCTTAGGCCTCTTTCCATTGACACATACATTTATTTTATGCGATGCTTTTCTCTCAGTAGTTCATGTAACGACCAATCTGGCCCTTCGCTGTCAGTATCCAGTAAGGCAACATCAATCACTGACAAAACATTCATGACATACTTTACATCAATTTTTGTATTAAGGGACAATGCTAATGGACCTTTGCAAATGCAACAATATATGCAATGTTAGCAATAATACTACTTTCGTTCGATTACGTATTTGTCCAAATTACGTCTGCAGGGGTGTTCTCTTCTTTCTGCGAAGGTAATTGCTCTTTTTCTCTGACGACGTGTCAAAGCATTTTGATCCGAAGTAATGATCGGCACGGGTTATGTGGGATGTGCGAACGAAATTATCGTAGTCAATCGACAAGGGTATAAAAGACTCCTTGTCGTCCTTGCTGCATCACACGATCTCACAACGTCTTTGCAGTCAGCAACATCACCATGTGAGTACAAAACATATGTCGATATTGGTAGATATGTTTCTTTTCATGTCCTTGTGTTTGGTATCCAAACACAAAATGCCTAGTTTAAAACTGTTGTTGTTGCCAAATATTGCTGGATTCCAATTAGTGCTCTTTAGATGTATAGGTATGTTTAAGGGCTCAACCATTTCATATTCTGAGGGTAGGGTATGGGTAGTTGGTTGTGCTGGGTTTTTACAGAAGGAAAATAAACTGTCCCCTAACGTTCTTGAAAAACCAGTTGCCTGCCACAAAACTTACATGATGATTGTTGCAAGATGTTTTTCCTTTAAAAACTTCAGGCTCAATTGTTTTAGCTGCAGATGATATAATATCTAGTCTCGATACTAAATCCAAGCTCAAAACCTCCTGCTGACGACAGTAATTGACATGGCACAAGTATAATGGTTCATTCTCACTGCCATAATACTATTCTGTTTTCGTATTTTCATCATTAACAAATTAATCCATACTTTGTAAATTTCAACCATACGATGACAAACACACACGGTGACAATGTTAACTAAATTAACATCAAGACAATGGAATTAGTCTTCATTTTGTTGTATGACATTCATTCTGCTTTTTTCTTTACAGCCCTGTAAGAATCAAGATGCAGAGAATCACCTGTGTTGTTTTCGTCCTGGCCGTTGTTGCCATGGTATCTTCACGCAACCCTCTCACCAAGGCTGTCATGAAGGCCAGGGATGCAGCTGGAAACTCCGCACTTGTAAGTCTTCCTAGAAATCCAAAACCAACAGTAGAAAACTAAAACTTTCTCCTCCAATTATCATAAATAATTCAAATATACATATCTCTATTAGTTTTAAGCAGAGACCATATAATCTATTATATGGTCTCTGTTTAAAGTCATCTACTCGTTGTCATACCTTCGAATTCAACATATTCACTTCAAAATGAAGTATGGCTCTTAACATCATGTACATATAAATAAACACATATTATCTACTGGTGTTTTAACTGCGTCTCTACAATACTACCGTTATGAGTGCTTGCCACTGTTATTGTCTATCAGTATCCTTATTGTCTCGTAGACCGCTTCCGTGGTCTAGTGGTATAGCATCCAGCCGGAGAGCGGAATGTCCGCGTCATACCAAAAGACGTTAAAATATGGTACTTTTTGTTACCCTGTCTGGCTCTCAAGTGACGTTTTTTTTCCAAATAGACCGCCACCGTGATCTAATGGTAGGGCGTCCGCCCGGAGAGCATTAAGGGGCTAAAACAAAGACTGGCCGGCTCGGAGTCAGTATACTTTGTCTGAGTGGGGTATTCATGTTAAAACTGCGGCATGTTATCTCACTGAGCTGGCGCTATAAAATCGGTGTCAGACTAGTACAAGGACCCACATACACACACACGTGCATGAACGTCGCTACATAAGTGCAAAAATCGACGCGATTATTGGACGCGACGTTAAACCCATTTCACCTCAACCAATTGTCCCTTTTTCACGATCTGCATGTCTGATTATAAAATAAATATTACTTCGATATATTAATTGAGATATTACTTACCCAAATGTAAAGACACCAACTTAAGTAGTGAAGGGAAGTATGCAGGATTGTTCTAAAACACAAATAGATCCCATAATAAAATTAGGACATTAAAATAAGGTTGTGTAGCCACCTTGTGTTTCCGCAAAGTTTGAATAACACGTTGAACAAATGATGTGAGAATACTCCAGGTCAGAAGAACCGATTCACATAAGCCTTACTATTCACATATGTATTTATTTTCCTAGTCGGAGGGTGGTTCTGACCTGTACCGTGATGCTGAAGGCATGGCCGAGTCATGCGACGCTGGTGTGGTTTCTGAAATCGGTGGAATTTCCTTCGTCGATTCTGGGGATTCTGCTGCTGATGCTCTCGCATATGCATCCAAACTGGGTGCCCAAGCTGGACCAGTAAGTATTCTATTGACATGTGAAGTGGTAGCAACTCAGCTGTATGAAATCCCCTATTGGTATTGACGGTAGCGCCATTTACTACCGCTATCGCTTCCCTTAATCGAATTAGAACCGTGTGAGTGCTATATTGGAGCATTCATGCCAGTTTCTCTGTAGCGAAGAAATTGGTTGTTCATGGTTTAAGGTTCACACGTACCTCTTGCAAATTAGTATCCCTCAGGTCCCGGGATCTGTTAGACTTCATCACAGATTCGCCCTGGTTCAGATTTCAGTAAGGGGTCGAACATTCTTTAAAAAAAATATTTATGCTTCTGACTGTTGAAAAAAAAAAAAATCCTGCTACAAAAACTGACATTGTTGCAAGGTGTTTTCTTAAAACAATTAGGCTCATAGTTTTAAATAAGCAAGTATCAGGTTTTGCGGCTGTTGCTGAAAACAGTCTCTTTGGGCTTCTTTTTTGTATTCTATGCAGACCCGTTGCACTGTACATGTAAGTAAAATATTGTTCCAACCGGTGGAAATACATCTGGCATGGCAAGTATACATTCTTGAGGAGATAAGCCAGATACCTTTCTTGAAAGAAAAGAAACGTAGCTCGACGACTTGCAGTTATATATTGGTGTTATATGAATGTGCAAATGTGGCTTAGAGTAACTGTTCAAAGTCTTTCAAGGTGCCTTACACCATCGAAACCAGACCTCAAGAGAGAATGCTTTCACTTCTAGGTCACCGAACCTACGAAATAATACTGGAAATAATGTATCAACACCAAACAGTAAATGTTCGACTTTGGGCTTTATAACAAATCACGACTGATCGAATAATGATTCCTAACGCGAAGTTTTCTATTTCTATTTCCAGGCTGGCTCTTCCTCTATCGCCTGTGATTCTTACAAATGCCCGGATGGAACCGTCATTGGAGCCTGTGCCTTTGAGTAGAAGAAATGATTGCTGATAACAGAAAGGTCAGTGAATACAACGCCTAGAACGTTTGTGTCAGGGCTCACGTCGTAACGTCAACCACATCTTCCATGTTATATTTCATTCATAGTTTACGACGTAATCAATTAACAGTTGCACAACTAACCCCGTAAACCTACTTGAATCATACACAGCAATACTCTGATTTCAAATGAAATAGTTAAGTCCCTTTCAAAAGAAGTAAAATATACAACCTTAGGAAAACATTCCTTAAAGAATGAAGTAAAAGTATAGATTTGAGGAAACACGACATTACAGGACACCTTAAAAATATAGAATGTTTATGAACATATTATTTAAGAAAGATACATTCAGTTAAACATTCCAGGGTTATACATTCAGTATGTTTCTTTTGTTTCAGCTGAACCGAACGGAATTTCTCTTGGATATTCAGTCGTATTGTATTGAGTTGTGTTGATTAAAAAACGATGATCATCTAATGATAAGTGTTGATATTTTTGTTATGATTATGTTGGACCTTTCTTCGCATTTTGCAAAAGGAAAACAGTTGATGACACACAATCGGTCTGTAACTTAAAAGTATCCTGGAGACAAGTGTGGGTATGGGAATATATTCAACCATTAGCATTTGAACACAAGGGAACGGCGACTTACGTCCTTCACCAACAGACCGCCTCCGTGGTCTAGTGGATAGAGTGTCTTCTCGGAAAGTAGAAGGTCGGGGATCCAATCCCGGCCGCGTCATACCAAAAGACGTTTAAAGATGGTACTTGTTGTTACCCTGCCTGGCGCTCGGCATTAAGGGGATAAAACAAGGACTGGTCGCCTGGGAGTCAGTACACTGTGTCTGAGTGGGGTATTCATGTTTACCTGCGGCATGGTATCTCAGCGGGCATTGGTCTGGACCAGTAGAAGCAGTCACACCCACACCCACACCCACACCCACACCCACACCCACACCCACACACGTGCTTGCACGTCGCTATAGAAGTGCAATAATCTTGGACCTGACGTTAAACCCCATTTCACCTCACCTCATGTTAACCTGCGGCTTGATATCTCCAGCACTATAACAAGCAGCCACACACACACTACAATTGCATGCACCTCGCTATATATGAGCAATTATCTTGAACGCGACGTTATACCCCATTTCACCTCACCTCCTTCACCAGTACATTTTTTTTTAGATGGCCATTTCTTCACGTTGATGCTATAATTCCAAGAGGAAGCTTATTTGACGCCACACGATACGCCAACTTGTGTTTTATAAAGAGAGTTTATATCTTTTTTATAAGTTGGGTAAAGATTAAGGATTTCGTCAAATATCATGCAGTCAGTCAACTTTATTTCGTCATCTACCATCGACCACATCTTCTTTTAAAGCTATCGTATTGTCAGAGTCAGTGATAGCATATTGAACACATAGTGTGTCTAAGTTATTGTTAAATGACAACACTACGCGAGAGCTTTCGCAGTGAAAATACTCGGGAATATAATTTTGGTATTTCGTATTTGGTTGTTTAATTTACATGCGATTTTATCACAAACAAGGCCAGTGAAATCCAACTCAATCAACTACTCACTCACTTAAATAAAATCCAAGTAAGCCATGAAAAAAGGATAGAAAGGATTTTTTTTAAAACAAGCTGACTGTCTGGAACACTTCTTGCTGCCCCACATTGTCACGTCATCATTGTCGCTGTATGACGTGTAAAGGGTCATCTCAGGCAGAATTTTACAATTCTTAGGTAATGAAGTGTTTTAAGAAAGCATCTTTTCAAAATGTTCCTAGGAACATTATTGAGCGTAGTTTTCAATCCAAGGATAACTTTCCAAAATGTATCATGAATGTGTTCAATATGAGGAGAAGGATGAAACCCCAGTTTATGATCGGCATAACTTTGGCATAACTAATATGAGAAGAGAGTGAGCAGAACGTACCAGTGTTGACTGAATCAGCTGTATCACCTTCCATAATTGTTGTGCAAGCGTCATATACCAAGTCCAGATAAAGACAATTGGGCACCCATATATTTATAGTTTGGCACGATTTCGACAACTACATTGTCATTATTAAACTTTTCATAATATCTAAGCTTACCATCATATCTAAAACAACAGCACTTCATTTTTAACAATGTTAATACTTAACTTCCAGTTATCACAATATGCAGATAACTTGTCATGACGCATTTGCAATCCAATTGCAACAACACACACCTTCAGCAAGATTATGTCATCAGCAAATAGTGAGTGCGTGGGTTTAACGCCGTTTTTAAAAGTATTTATGTTATAACGCGGCGTGTCAGCTTTACGTGGGAGGAAAGCCCGAAGTGATGCAGGTCTCAGACGTTTACCACTTCGGTGAAACCCACGAGCGCGGGTATGGTGCTGACAAACCCTGAAACATTATCGGGGCGAACCGGGATTCGAACCCACATTCATAGGTTTCTGGCGTGCACAGCGAATCGCGGCGCCTTAGACGACTGGGCCACCCGTGACCCCACCAGCAAATAGAAGAATACAATAAATGTACATGTAGTTCCGACACAATTACATCCCAGAGAATCAACTGTATCATTTATCAAATTAGAAAATAAAAATGGGGTTAACTGACACCCTGGGAAGCACTTAAAAAGCCACCCTCTAGAAAGATACAGGATTTAACAAATGCATACATATTCTTTTGTTATTCAAACTATTCTACCTTTATGCCGCCTTTCCACACTTGAAGATCAAACCATTTCTGTACAGAAAATCCAAAGCACCCTCTACCCTGCCTTTTTCATGAGTATAAACTGACGTCCAAAAGAAACTTTACCTGAGTTTGAAATCACTCTTGCTCAAAAACAACAAAACATACATGCATGAAGTAAAGTGTATTGAGAAGATCAATATATCAACATAACCAACACTGAAAATGACAATCATACCGCGACCGAGAATGACGTCAGAGCCCCCCAAAGTTCAGAATCATGGACAATAGGCAGAGTACATAAACAATCGCTCACGTTCTATAACAAGTCATTAGTAGCATGTGTGACCACCAAATGCCTCAATCCAGGCAAAAACTCTTCGACGCACAGAAAAAGTCAGTCGTCTGATGAGGTCACGTGGGATTTGACGCCATTCTTCTTGGAGGGCCAAGATCAGTTCTTGCCGGTTGGTCGTCGAACACGACGATCCATCAAGTCCCAGAGGTGTTCTATGGGGGGCATGTCGGGTGAGCGCGCAGGCCACGGCAGGACGTTGACGTTGTTGGCTGCGAGGAAGTTAGTGACAATTCTTGCTGTATGGGCTCTAGCGTTGTTATACTGATAAATGACACCACGTGCCTGCTGTTGGAGAAATGGTAGGACAACTGGACGAAGAATGTTATCCTTGTAACGCTGAGCTGTCAAGTTCCGTCAAAGATGACCAGCGGTGTCCTCTCCTGCCCACAGATCCCTCCCCACACCATGACACTCCCTCCACCATATGGTACGACCTCCTGCACGCAACACGCCGCCGTTCGTTCACCCCTTCGGCGGTAAACATGCTGTCTCCATCAGCCCTAACCATACAGAATCGACTTTCGTCAGTGAAGACAACCATCTGCCAGTCACGTCGTTGCCAACGTCGTACAGTCCGGGCCCATCTCAATCGCAGACGACGATGTTGCGCTGTCAATAGCTGTCCTCTGTATGGTCTAAAAGCCCTGATTCCATGAGCCCTGAGTCTCCTGGCCACTGACTGTCGACTAACCCTGTGACCTAAGGCATTTGTCGCCGATGACGTCACTGTCCGGAAGCGATTTCGGAGGTGCAAGGTACGCAAGTACCGGTCATCATGGGGCGTGGTCACCCTGGGTCTGACTGTTCTTGGCCTGTCAGCGGTCCGCCCTGTCTGTCTGTAACGTTGCATCAAGTTGTTAACGGCAACACGGGAGCAACCGAAGGTTCGTGCAATATGGACGTGGGTGGCTCCCATCTGTACCATACCAAAGGCTCGTTCACGTTATTCGACTGTGAGTCGTGGCATTTCTTTTGTGTTGTTTTATCACTGTGGATGTCTGACTCGCCGTTGCAATCGTTTTATACCCTTACCCGCACGTGCATTTGCAGTTGTGCGTGGTGCACGTGTTTTTCACTTTTTCGCGTGTTATCTCGCAAACATGTAACAGACGATTAACATTTTCTGCATACACTATTGTTGTATTTAGGTTATGTGTTTTAGATAGACTTCATCGGAAAAAAAATTATACTTTGTCTGAAATTTATATTTTCAGTTGGTAAAGTTTCTTTTGGACGTCAGTTTATATTTTAGAATGTCAACGCCAGAGAATAAACAGTCTCATTATCTGCGGAAACAGATTCCATTGGGCGTAAAAGGCATAATAGTGGACACAATTATATGAATATATGATTTTCAGTGATGACACCGAAAAGGGTAAGTGTGCCCTAGTGTACTGGTAACACCCGCCACACACAATCTGCATGATTAAGTATGTGTTTGTTAGTTGTCTGACGCCACACAGCAGTACTCCTGCCATACGACGGCGGCCTGTAAACAATCGAGTCTTGATCAGAAAACTAAGAAATAGTGAATCAGACAATCCAGTGACATTCACCGATTTTGTTGAATCTAAAATCGATAAGTAAAGTTTCAACAATATAACATATTATCAGAAATGTGGAATTCTTTCCTGAATCCTGTATGTTCTTCCACCACCTACAAATAAAGTTGGTAAATATTTCCTTGGTCCTGGGGACTGCCATTGTTGAAAATAGAAAGCATTATACCATACGATCACTGTTCTGGAGATATGCTAAAACCGAATGCATTAAACATCTGTAATAACATCTCAGGATAAATGGTTGGGCATTATCAAAATCCTCAACAAATATTCCAGAATAGCCTGGGTCTCTGCTTAATTTCATGTCATCAAGTGCGAGCAATAGTTCCCCCATGGTAATATCTTTATCTTTTTCATTTGCAACATCCATAGAATTATCAACAAGGTCTTGGAAACAAACAAACAAAATTCTCAATTTATTAATATATAGCCACAAAGTCACTACATTCTCTGCTTCCTTGAAATAATGTTTCAAAATGAATAATCCTGTCATTGATACATATGTCTTTTGAGAGCAAGCATTGCTTGTTGGCTTCACGTAACATACTGTCATTATTCTTCAGGCACAACACCATGTAACACGTACTGTTCCGTCGGTGATATTGTGATTGTGACCAGTCCTTGTGTTGTTTCTATGCTGATGTATGTAATTTATAACTGTCTACTTGACTGATCCATGCATGAAACGCGTGGTGCCATCCACGTTCACATCCTCACATTCACAATCATACCATTTATTAAATGCATATACACATCCTCCCTTTAGGACTTCCTATTTTCCAAGTTGATATCCTGAGATACCAGACATTGTTATTGGCAAGACTAATACAGATTTCAACGAAAGGTAATTAATGGATGTTT